ACGCTCCAAGCCGTTGTCGTGATAGTTCTGATGATGCTATTCAAGAGACTGATGATGAAATCTCCAAAGGATGGATCGAAGAAACTGCCGCTGCCACCGGGATTCGCCGGATGGCCGGTCGTCGGTATGGTTCCGGCGATGCTAAACAACCGTCCGGTTTTCCGGTGGCTTCACAGCCTCATGAAGCGGCTCAACACAGAGATCGCATGCGTTCGGCTCGGCAACACTCACGTGATCCCCGTCACGTGCCCTCAGATCGCTCGCGAGATGTTCAAGCAACAGGACGCTATCTTCGCGTCGAGACCCCTCTCTTACGCTCAGAAGGTTCTCTCTAACGGCTACAAGACTTGCGTCATTACACCGTTCGGGGAACAGTTCAAGAAAATGAGGAGAGTGGTTATGACGGAAATCGTTTGTCCCGCGAGACACAGGTGGCTTCACGACAAGAGAGCCGAGGAAACCGACCACTTGACGGCTTGGCTCTACAACATGGTCAAGAGCTCGAGCACTGTCGATTTCCGCGATGTGAGCAGGCACTACTGTGGTAACGTTATCAAGAAGCTTTTCTTCGGGACGAGGACATTCGGGTCGGGGAAAACGGCGGCGGACGGTGGACCAACGGCCGAGGACATCGAGCACATGGAGGCCATGTTTGATGGGCTTGGTTTTACGTTCGCGTTCTGCATATCGGATTTCCTTCCGTGGCTCACCGGCCTCGATCTGAACGGTCACGAGAAGATCATGAGAAGGGCGAGTGCTGTTATGGACAAATACCATGACCCTATCGTGGATGAGAGGATTAAGATGTGGAGAGAAGGGAAGAGAACTCAAGTTGAAGACTTTCTTGACGTTTTCATCTCCTTGAAGAATGAAGATGGGAACCCTTTGTTGACTCCCGACGAAATCAAACCCACACTCAAGGTAAAAATACAAATTTGACTTAGCTGATATTTGGACCGGATCTATGACATGGAGTGTCCAGGACATGCAAGTTGTTGTGTTGTAGTGGACTAGTCCATAGACTTGTATTTTTCTCGTGGTCCATGCATGCATACAATTCTTCTTTGGACAAATGGCTAAACTATAGAATTCAAATGGGTATATCCACAGGAACTGGTGATGGCGGCGCCGGATAACCCGTCGAACGCCGTGGAATGGACGATGGCAGAGATGGTGAACAACCCGGAGATCCTCCGAAAGGCCATGGAAGAGATCGACAGGGTCGTCGGAAAGGACAGGCTCGTGCAAGAATCCGACATCCCTAAACTCAACTACGTCAAAGCCTGTCTCCGTGAAGCATTCCGTCTCCACCCGGTTGCGGCCTTCAACCTCCCACACGTCGCGCTCTGCGACACGACCGTCGCTGGCTACCACATCCCCAAGGGAAGCCAGGTGCTGCTCAGCCGGTACGGCCTCGGACGCAACCCCAAAGTTTGGTCCGACCCACTTAGCTTCAAGCCCGAGAGACACCTCAACGAGTGCTCCGAGGTCACGTTGATCGAGAACGACCTCAGGTTCATCTCCTTCAGCACCGGTCGAAGAGGCTGCGCTGCTCCGGCTCTAGGCACGGCCATTACCACCATGATGCTGGCGAGGATTCTTCAGGGGTTCACGTGGAAGTTGCCGGAGGGGGAGAGACGGGTCGAGCTCGTGGAGTCGAGCCATGACTTGTTCTTGGCTAAGCCTTTGGTCATGGTTGGTGAGCCGAGGTTGGCCGACCATCTTTACCCGACGGTGAACTGAGTCGGCGAGGATGTGTATATACCAATAATTTTATTTTGTGTTAATGTTATTATGACCCAAGGTTTTGGTCCTCTTATGGGACAAAATCATGTTATGTTTGGAGATACTTGGTTTGTGTCTCCTTATATATATATTTTTTGTTTTAATAAATTTTGGTCTTTCTCCACTTAAAAATCGTGATAATAATTAATAATAAGATTATTATCGTCAAGCTGTGTAGCCCTCGTCCCATCGAGCTTTTGGATCCTTGTAACAAAAAAATCTCTTCCAATAAAGATTTTAATTGGAGTATATGATACTTCAACTGTCTCATTCTCTACCCATTTTACGTAAGTACCTTTTGATTTTTTAGGTTTGGTCCTGAATTCATGTCGCCATCGTGCACGATGAATCGATGAGATTCGTCGGGTTGCCCTGTCGAGGACCGTATTGCAATGCTTATGCCCATACGAGCCCGGTTCTTCAAACCCAGACTTGGTTCTGTCGGGATTTCTTCGATTTTGTCTGTTTCTTCTTCTTCAACGAGCTTCATCGATCGCCACATTGACTCATTTCTATGCGATCGAAGTTCAATTGCTACGACGACGTTAGAGTTTCTGATTAAACACCATGCTCTAATCGTTACCAACGGTAACTCCGACAATATCTTTATAGCGTCCAAGTTGATATCCTCTTACGCTTCGCTGGGGAAACCCCATGTTTCATTTCGAGTCTTCGATTCCGTTAGCCGGAGAGATGGGTTTCTATGGAACTCCATCATCAAAGCCTACTTCTCTAATGGAGATTATTCCCGAGCCGTCGGTCTATTCTTCTCCATGCGGTTATCTAGGGAGTCACCTGATCACTTCACGGTCCCGATGGTTGTTTCGTCCTGCGCGGAGCTTTTATGGGAGGATATCGGGAATTACGTTCATGGGTTGGTCTTAAAATGCGGGATTTTTGAAGGAAACACTGCGATTGGATCTTCCTTCGTGCATTTCTATGCCAAGTGTGGTCGTCTAGAAGCCGCCTCTCTTATGTTCGACGAAATGCCTGAGAGAGACGTGGTTGCTTGGACCGCGATCATATCTGGGCATGTGCAGAATGACGAGAGCGAGAAGGGTCTGGAATATCTTTGCGAAATGCACAGGAATTGTACTGATGCTGAAAAGCCGAATTCTCGAACGTTAGAGCGCGGTTTCCAGGCTTGTGCAAATTTGGGTGCTTTAACGGAAGGAAGGTGTCTGCACAGCTTAGTGGCGAAAAATGGTTTATCTTCTTCTCAAATGGTTCAGTCTTCGTTTTTTTCCTTGTATGCAAAATGTGGGAGTCCAGTTGAAGCTTATCTCTCTTTCCACGAATTGGGCGATCGAGATATGTTTTCATGGACATCAGTTATATCTTCACTCGCAAGATCCGGGAACATGAAAGGAAGTTTTGATCTGTTCTGGGAAATGCAGACAAACGGAATACAGCCGGATGAGATTGTCATTAGTTGTTTGATTAATGAGCTTGGTAATAAGATGCTCGTGTCCCAGGGAAAAGCCTTTCACGGATTGATTATAAGGCACTGTTATCCTTTGGATGCCACAGTGAGCAATGCATTTTTGTCTGCTTACTGCAAATTTGAGCTTTTGTCTATGGCTGAGAAGCTTTTCCGAGGGATACCGGAAGGTAATAAAGATGCTTGGAATTTAATGGTTAAAGGCTACGGTAAAATGAAATGTGACGTGAAGTGTGTCGAGCTATTTAGACAGATGCAGAATCTTGGAATTGAAGCTGACTATACTAGCTTGGCCTCGGTCATATCTTCATGTTCCCGCATAGGAGCAGAGCATGTTGGCAAGTCGTTACATTGCTATGTCGTCAAAAGTCACTTGGATCGTAACATTTCAGTTGTCAATTCTCTTATAGATTTGTATGGAAAGACGGGTGACTTGACCGTTGCCTGGAGGATGTTTCGGGAAACAGAGAAGAATATTATCACTTGGAACACGATGATTGCATCGTATGTTCATTGTGACCAATCTGACAAAGCAATTGCATTGTTTGATAGAATGATTTCGGAAAATTTGAAGCCAACCTCAGCAACTTTGGTGACTGTACTTACGGCTTGTGCCAATCTGGGATCTCTGGAGACAGGGCAAAGGATTCATATGTACATCACAGAAGGTGGGTATGAGGTGAATCTATCTCTTGCAACTGCACTGGTTGGCATGTATGCAAAATGTGGGCAGCTCGAGAAATCCCGAGAACTGTTTGATTCCGTGAGGGATAAGGATGCAGTTTGTTGGAATGTGATGATATCGGGATATGGACTGCATGGACATGTGGAATCGGCAATAGAGCTCTTCCATCGAATGGAGGAATCCAAGGTTGAGCCAAATGGTCTTACTTATCTTGCTCTTCTCTCGGCTTGTAAGCATTCTGGCTTTGCTGAAGAAGGCAAGTACCTCTTCCAGAAGATGCATCATCACAATTTGAAACCCAGCTTGAAGCATTACGCATGTATGGTGGATCTTCTTGCCCGTTCTGGAGATTTTCATGATGCTGAAGCCATGGTAATGTCGATGTCCATCTCACCGGACCATGTTATATGGGGAAACTTGTTAAGCATTTGTCTGACACATAACGAGTTCGAGATGGGGATACGAATGGCACAACATGCAATTGAAAGCGACCCGCATAACGATGGGTACCATATAACGCTAGCCAACATGTACAGCGCCGCTGGTAACTGGGAACTTGCAGAAAGGGCACGAAAGGTTATGAAGGAGCTAGGAGTTGAGAAGAGAGCTGGTCACAGCTCTGTTTCTGGGGCTTTTCCTTCATCCTTCTCAGTGTCTGATTCTTCAGGTTGATCCAGAAAGCCTAATTTATATTCAGACACCTCTCACTGCAAGACATGCATGGACATTCACCCCCATTGAGTGAATCCACTGGGAAATAGAGACAGACATGGACAAAACGATATTTTCCCAGGTTTGGTTTTGAATCTGGAAGCGCTTGGAGGTTTCTTGTTGCACACGGTTCTGTGAAGGCAAACGGTTCTGCTGGAGAATTAAGTCTTACCATGGGGTTATTATTCTGAATTTAAATAACTCTGTATATTCCAAAATAATCTCAGACAAGGAAGGCGTACCAAATTTTGTACTATAAACATTTAAAAAGAAAAGTTTTGTTCAATGTTACACTTCATCAATAATGGGGCTTTATTTTTTACCCGAAAATAGCCGGGTTTGTTCAATTATATATATTCGCATATGTTCTTCTCAGTGCTCTCAGACATGACGGGTTGTTTCAGCTTCACGGCTTGTCGGAACAGATACTACCGTTTCAGCTTCTCCTCCCTCGGTCTCCGGTCATCGACGGTGGATCTCGGCGATGGGACCATCATTCATTGCTGGGTCCCACGGACCCACCTCGACGACAAACCCACGCTCCTCCTCCTCCACGGGCTCGGAGCCAATGCCATGTGGCAGTGGGGATGGTGCATCGACCGGTTCATCCCCCGGTTCAACGTCTACGTACCGGACCTCCTCTTCTTCGGGGACTCGCTCACGACTCGGCCCGAGCGTTCCGAGTCGTTCCAGGCCAGGTGCGTGATGGCAATGATGGATGCCCACGGGGTCCGGACCATGACCGTCGCCGGGATCAGCTACGGAGGGTTCGTGGCGTACGCCATGGCGGCGCAGTTTAATGAGAGGATCGATCGTGTGGTGATAATTTGCGCCGGGGTGTCTCTGGATGAGAAGGATATGGATAATGAGCAGTTCAAGGTGAAGAGCGCGGAAGAGGCGGCGACGATTCTGTTTCCTCAGTCTCCGGCGAAGTTCCGGCAGCTTCTCCGGTTTGCTTTCTACAAGCCGCCGATCGGAATCCCATCCTGCATCGCCAAGGACTATATCAGAGTGAGTCTTTTGTTAGTCAAAACTGATTCTCGGACTTTTTCCGTTTTTGGGTAATGGGCATTCGTAAAATTCTCTAATCTTTGCATCTGGGTTTGAAAAATTCTGCTTCCTCGATTGGTAGTGTCGTTGAAGAAATGTCGGAACTTTGCAGGTGATGTGCAAAGAGCATCTTCAAGAGAGGAAAGAAGTGGTGAAGGCACAGCATAAAGGCAGGAGATTTGCCGACCTTCCCAAGATTACTCAGGTTTGGTTCTTCCCTATTACATTCTTTGTATCTCTGTTCCTTCAACTCATGCATTCTTCTCCATTGATCGATGCAGCCGACATTGATCATATGGGGAGAGGAAGATCAAGTCTTCCCAGTGGAATTGGCTCATAGATTGAAAAGGCAAGTTCTCAGCCATGGTGTTGTTTAGGGTTTTCCTGTCTTGTAATGGCCTTTCCTGGTTGATTTCTCATAAAAAAGAAAAAACTGCAGTCATCTCGGGGAGAACGCTCAACTGTCGCTGATAAAGAAGACAGGACATGCAGTAAACCTAGAGAAACCGAAAGAGATGTATAAACGCATGAAATCTTTTCTGGCTGTCCCTCCTAAGGACAAGCCATAAGATACGAGACTCATTCATATTGGCAACTGCATTTGAGGAGAACTGATCCATGGAATGAAGAACACATCAATGGTGTTCTGTCCTATGTAGCATTTCTAAATGCATTATGTATATTTAGTGTTGAAACCAAGTTTCAAGTTTCATGGTATTAATTTAAAATAAAAAAAGGATCTCCTATAAATAAAATATATGCATAATATTAAATGTCTTTTTGTTGATATAACTTGTATGTACGGCAATGAGAGCCAGAAAACGTGAAACTGAGAGGCCATTAGAATATTCTAGTAAAAGTTTAACCAATTGGAAAATTATAGCATGAGACAAGTGGTAAATCTGGACCGTCCAAACCGAACCAACTCATTCTTGAAGCCGAGATTTCGAAGAATCCAACGGTGCTAATTCCGCCGTACACTGGAACGGCAAAAGTATCGGCGCAGAGGAACATCGCTTTGGTGAAAACCATCGTGTATGTTTTCTTCTCCGTTGAGCAAGTAGAGTCCAGCCTCATCCTTCGTCTCCGAAGTCTGTGTTCTGCAAAAGCTCTCTCCTTTTCTCTCTCCGAGGAAAGAGAGCGGAAAAAGGCTAAGCACGAGAAGAGATTTCGGTGCGTTTTCTCCGAATTTCTATCATTTTCTCGACGCCCCATTTTATCGGTGCTTGTAGTGTTAGGTTTCCCTGGCCCTGGATTGATATGCCCTTGTTTTATTAATCGGATTTCTGGAGAAAGTTTGTATTTTTTTCGTTCAGATGTTGAAAAATTCGCGTGCTTTGTAATGGGTATGTTTTGTTTTCCATGAAAGTGAATTTTTTTCCTGCTTATTCGATGCATTTGTTCATTCCGAGTTCAGTATATTGCTTGGCGAAGGGAGGTCTATTGTTCTTTTTCTCTTCCTGTTTATTGCATTTGCTTCTCATGATTGAGAGATTTCTTTTTCGGCTTTTACTGTACGTTGAAGGATAGATATTGCATCTGCTTCACGACTTGCCAGTTTCCTCAGCATGGCATAGTAAGGAAGTTAAAATCTGAGGCATGTGGAACTTATATTGATGTTGCAGGGAGAGTATTGAATCGAATGGCTCTAATACATTTTGGGAGTACGTGTGTTGCTCAATGGGGTATTTGTCCTCTGCTTCAAGTGAGAGCATTTCATCCGAGCAGAGAGAAATCTACCCATCAACCCAGGTACCAGTCAGGGGTATTGATTAGTTCTTAACTTAGTGATATTGAGCCACCATATATTGCTATGGCTGAGAGACTTTCAAGAAGGGCATGACACGTTAGGTTTGTTTAGGTTAGAAGATAGAACGCAATAGAAGTCGGTAACCAAGGGCACTTTGAGATTTCTTGACTTCTTTAGGAATGAAAAAGAAAAGAACTTGCCTGTAGAGGCGCAAATCTGTAGCTAATAGAATGTTTTATTGACAATTTCGCAGTTTGACAAGCCAAATAAGTTGTTTTGGAGCATCAAGGTCTAGTCTGTTCTCGGGCGGGGCCTTACCCTTTTTATCACGGGCAGGCCTTCCTCAAAAGTTGCATTATCGTAGAGGAGCACGCTTCACTGTTAGAGCTGATGCTGTGAGTGTATATTTTCTCTTTCTTTAAATACTGAATGACAGCATCTGTATTTGGGATTGTTATTGTTTTTCATACTTTGAAGAACGCATCTCTCGTTTGCTGAGAAATCTTGCTGACTCTTTTACTTTCGTCTGGTTGTGTATGATTCTAGGATTACTATTCTGTTCTCGGAGTTTCAAAAAATGCAACCAAATCAGAGATTAAAAGTGGTATGTCTGTTCTCTAGATGAGTGAGAGATCATGAATTCCCCATGTATTGTGCATTTGTTGACATGCATAAGCTTATTTATATAATCTCTCTTTAATCAGATGAATTCTTAGCCTTAACTTGGTCTTTACTGCGGTAACTTATTAGGAAAATGTATAATATATATATATATATATATGGTGTATTGGGTTGTAGTGTATGTGTAACCTTTCTCTTTACCATATCCCATCTCTGTTCATCCAAAATGGGACTCACCAAACTACAAAAGATTCATAATTTGCCTTAATTCTTCTCTTTCACATGTTTGGCTTTACCTTGTGGTTTTCTGTAAAAGATGTTCTGATGATGACTTCTCTTCCTTGAATCTGTTTCAGCTTATCGGAAGCTAGCAAGGAATTACCATCCTGATGTCAACAAGTAAGTGAAAAAGGTTAACCTAATTCATCAGCCCAGACAAGGTGTTTTGTTACCTCCCTGTATGAAGATTGGTAGAAATGTTGGCTACAAGTTGGCCAGAGTCCAAGAGCAAGTTTATCGATGCTAAGTCTTTGAAGATATACCTGTGATATTTCATTAGTACTCAGGTTTTGTTTATCTAACAAGAGAACTGCTGGGAAAAAACATGGCACCCTTCAAATTGCTAAGAATTTTCTTAGCGCAGATTTAGAAAATGAAAGTTGCAAACTTTAGTATGTGGATATTGTTCTAGATATCATGTCAACTAAAGGACCAATAAACTATATATTAACTGTGTTTTTCGACCCCCGAGAATTTGGTCTTAAATTTGATATCATGTGTACAGGGATCCAGGGGCAGAACAGAAGTTCAAAGAAATAAGTAATGCTTATGAGGTGAAATCCTACTTCTTTGCTCTCTTGATGGATTTCAAATCTAAAGGTTTACTCTCGGAAGTTTTGGTTTTGCATTTGTAACAACAAAATTTTGTTTTGCAGGTCTTATCAGATGATGAGAAAAGATCCCTATACGACAGGTATGGTGAGGCTGGAGTTAAAGGCGCAGGGGTGGGCACGGGGGTATGTAGTTGAAACATGAACGATTACACATACTTTGTTTAATGACCCGATTAACACCCTCTGATTGCTTCTTTCTTATGACTTCTATAGGATTTCAGTAATCCATTTGATCTATTCGAGTCATTGTTTGAGGGCATGGGGGGTATGGGTATGGGTGGAGGCATGGGTAGAGGATCGAGGAGCAGAGCAGTAGACGGGCAGGATGAGTATTACACACTCGTCTTGAACTTCAAAGAGGCTGTCTTCGGGGTCGAGAAAGAGATAGAGATATCCCGGCTGGAAACCTGCGGTACCTGCAACGGGTCAGGGGCAAAACCCGGAACGAAGCCAACGAAATGCAGTACCTGTGGTGGGCAGGGCCAGGTGGTGTCATCAGCCAGGACGCCTCTGGGTGTATTCCAGCAGGTCATGACGTGTTCTTCATGTCAAGGCACGGGAGAAATCTCGACCCCGTGTGGCACGTGTTCAGGGGACGGACGCGTGAGAAGAACGAAAAGGATAAGCCTGAAGGTGCCGGCTGGGGTGGATTCAGGGAGCAGGCTGAGAGTGAGGGGAGAGGGAAACGCCGGAAGGAGAGGAGGGTCACCGGGCGATCTGTTTGTAGGGATAGAGGTCATTCCAGATCCAGTGCTGAAGCGAGAGGACACAAATATTCTGTACACGTGCAAGATATCGTATATAGATGCTATAATGGGGACGAAGGTGAAAGTGCCGACGGTGGATGGGGTGGTGGAATTGAAGATTCCGGGAGGGACACAGCCGAACACGACGCTGGTGATGGGGAAGAAGGGGGTTCCAGTGCTGAACAAGAGTAACATGAGGGGTGATCAGTTGGTGAAGGTGCAGGTTGAGATTCCAAAGAGACTGAGCAAAGAGGAGAAGAAGCTGATTGAAGAGTTGGCTGATTTAAGCAAGAACAACAAGACAGCTAACACCAGAAGATGATAGCAGTCTTTGAGCTCTGAGAGATGGATGATTTTGTAATGGTTATTATATACATACATATATAGGACCTCATCGCTTGGTGTTCTTTGGGGGGGGGTGGCTTCCTTCAACAAGGGGGAGCTGAGAATGAAGGATACTAAAGGAATTGGGACTTAGAAAAATTAGCTGAGGGGAGGAAAAAAGAAAAGAAAATGAATTTGTTTTGATTGCTCCAGCTTTTGAATTGTATACAACATTCTTTTAATGGGATTTTACTAAAGCGTGCTGTTGCATTTCCAACTTTTGTGTTAAGTTTTGGAATGTATAGTGTGTGTGTATGTCATGTTTGATGTTAGGTTTATTAAACGTCCATCAAATATTCAAAATGAATGAAAAGAAAAAAGAAATGGGGTGAGAGAGGCTCGAACTCTCGACCTCAGGATCACTCAGAAGCTATGAGACCTACGCGCTAGCCAACTGCGCCACCACCCCTTTTGCTTTTCTTCCAAGGCTTAATTACAAAAAGAGTGTTCTATTAGCCCGCAGCAACCACGCTTTGAAGCAGACTCTCCAAGTCCTGAAATCTACAATTTCAACGTATAAAAACCATTATGATACAAGAAGACACGAAAGCTCAAACAACTCACAAGCGTTAGTTTATGTTTGAATACCAACCTCACTTTGCTGAGATCTGAGTAGACTTCTATTGCGTCTTTGAAATCCTGAACCACATTACCCAAAAAATGCATCGACTTTTTTTTTTTATAATCAGAGTAGGGAGAGATTGTACAGGGAAGTCGTTTCTTTCTATGCTAAACCAGACCTGGTCCGAGGTTGAGGAGGTATATGTGATAACACACGACATCCCGGCTTTTGTAGCTGCCTATATCACAAACTCCACCAATACCATCCATTGGTGAATAAGGTTTGATCCAATCTTGGAGTTTGGGTCATTGGTTAGTGCAAAAAGAAGCAAGCCTATCACGCTGTCCTCTATAACCAAACAGTCTTTCTCTGAAACACCAAGCTTCTGCATGAATATCACATGGATCAGATATCAGATGAACTTGAGGTTTTGGTTACCTGTCCTTTTTTTTAGAATTCAGATTACCTTAGCAGCTGTTATATATATCAAAGGATCAGGCTTTTTCTCCTTAACATCGTCCCCTGCAACATACACAAGCCAATTACGACTGAAAACATCAAGAAGCAAGCCAATTCGGAAACAAATGAGATCACATTCACCTGCGAGGAAGCAATCAAGTCCCTGGAAACGCTCCTATCACGTGGAAACGACGGCAGAAACAAATAGATAATAAAAGAACATCGATGAAATCTCAGGGGATAAGAGGCTGAATCTGAAGGTAAGAAAGACTCACAATGCCTATGAGATTCTCAAGACATAGTACCACCGAACTCTTGGTTGCTGCCGAGCAAACAGCCAACTTCTTTCCCTGCATTAATCAATCGTTCACGAAAATGGAGAACCGGCCATAAGCAACAAAACAATCAGATGCTTCAAATGCTCAGAAAAACATCTTACCGCAGTCCTAGCCTCATCCATCAGCCTCAAAACACCAGGTCTTGGTTCCACCTGAATCGACATTTCTGGCAGAATCACTCACCCAAGAACAAGCGAAATAAGCAAATACAATGAACCCTTATACATCTGAATTTCTACTCACAGTTCCAGATTTTATGATTTCTTTGTACCTCTCGGTTTTCCAATCCTGCAAAACCCCGTCTCTGGAATCAATACATTAAGAGGAATTCGGCCCCAGTTTCCAAATTTACAAGATAGCGAATGCAGAACGCTGGAGTCAGTGACCTGAAGAGTGTCGATTAACTTGGCGCGGTCGTCGTCAGTCTCCGGTGGCGAATCAAATATGGTCGAAGTCGGCCAGCCATGCTCCTTGAAGTACCTTCGGCAAGAGCAGGAACATTACCCATCAACAAAAATGTCAAAGCAGAAACATGAGAAGAACTTGAGAGAGAGAGAGAGAGAGAGAGAACCGACCATCTCATCTTAGGTTTTCCACCGCCGACCTGATTCTGGAACACGTCGTAGAATTCGGGACTCCAAGTGAGAGAACTGGACAGAGAAGGAGGGCTCCGAACATTGAAGTGAGCGAAAGCGTCGTTGTAAGCCTGACGGTGCAAATCCTCCGATTCCAGAATCACACCATCGCAATCGAAGATCAGAGCTTCTAGAGATCGCGACGATGCAAAGACCGAAAACCTAGCAGACATAGAAGCTCTTCGATTCGACTTGAAACGCAGCGTCTGAAGACGAGGAAAGGCCACGGATGAAGAAGACGATGAAGCACATACGACGGCGGCGGGAGAGAGAGCCATGGCATGGTAGCGACACACCGCCATTGGTGAACCAAGGTGTTGCTCTCGTATGTCTGCGTGTATGTGTGTGTGTGGCTCTGGAGAGGGCTTTTGCCTTTTTGTATCGCTGTGGTCAATCCGAAAAAAAATACAGAAATCTGTGGCTCCTATTTCTATCAGCACATCTCAATGCATTTTTAACGACCATTAACTAACTTTACCCACTGGTTACAAAAATTGACCATTTTTAATCTTCATATGTAATATATAGGAACAGCTCTTTTTGCAGAGAAATTCATCCTAATAGCAAAAAAAAAAAAAAAACAAAAAACAAAACAGAGCATTTCCACTGTTCCCGGAAACAGTTTCAAATTTACAAACTCCATTGAGAAAGGACACTGAACCCATTTGGAGTGTATCTGTAACGCCATTGTTTCTGTCCACCAGCTTCAGAATGTTGGAGCTCTGAGAAAGACAATGCCAGCTTCCAACACCCATCTATGGCGTTTGTGCAAAAATCAGAAATATTTTTGAATTGTAAACCCCCCAAAATCCTTGTGGAACCAACAAAATCTGCAAGCAAGAAACATCTAAGCAATCAAACAGGGTTCCTTGCCGCTGACTCTGGAACTAACCCGGCATCTGTTTCCATGCTTCTGTCCATGGTGGCTTGATCAATCTGCTTTTCTGGAGGTTTGACATCATTCGGAGAGTTATTATAACCTTCGACTCCAACCAATGTCTTGTCTGAGTTCGGTTTGCTCTCCCATAACTTGCTGTGTTTCACGATTGTAAGTATAAGTTCCAGCTGTTTTTGCTGTTGTTCCTGCAATTACACATACCAATTATCATGTATATGAGTGTGTACACATGCATTCGCATATATGTGCGCATATGGCAATATGATTAGAACTTTTACCTGCATAGCTATCAAAACTTTCTGGATTTCATGGATCTCCTTTTCCAGAATGTCTTCTTGCACCGCTAATGCCCTTGTGGCCTCTGAATTCTTCTGAGCCAAAGCTGCAATCTTTGAACATTGCACCGACAATGGAAACCGGATCAGTTTCTATCATCTAACAACATCATGCAGAGATTTCGAACCAAGCCAATTGGATAGATGCACTTTCAACAATATATCATGCATCCAAGATGAGTCACAAGATTTGATACCTCTGCGATTGGCTGTTTCAAAGCACTCTTCGTGACTCGGAATCGATTTCCGAGCTTCTCCAGGTGCTTAGATAGAACCCTGATTATCGTCGCGGAGTTCCTCAGCTCCTCTTCCAGATTCTCGACCCTCTTGATCAAGTTCATGCTCTCTCCTCTCATTGGATCTCCGCAAATCCTCTTCCACTGCCTCCGTCTTATCCACGCGCCTATCACCACCCCACCCACCAATCCTGCAACCCCGCATAGCGCAACCCTCTTCCACATTTCTCCCAAAATCTCGTTTTTCAGCCCTAAAACCGAGCAATTCACCGCGAAAGCCACTGAAATGACTGTCGAGGAAGCAATAAGTACCAATTCGGCAAGCGAGAGAAAACTATCGAAGTCGAAAACCCTGAAATCGTCAAAGATCGGCGCACTTGCGGACGCAACACTCTCGGATTCGTGAGCTCGGAGAGAACAGGGGCATAATTTGAGATCGAGGCGAAGAGTGGGGTAACGGTGTAGTGCCCAGAACCGTGAAGGCGACATAGCCGATGGGGGAGATTGGTTATGGTTTCCGAAAGATGAACTCACCGAAATTGCAATTCGCGGAGAGAGAGCAAGCGACATCATCGCATCAAGATTCGATTCAGTGAGTTTTGGGCGATGAAATTCGCCTGGAGACTAAGGTTTTTGGTGGGTTCAGTTGGAGATCTGAGGAAGAAAAAGAAGAAAAGGGCATGCGCTGTTTCCGGATACCGAACAACGGGAATTAAGAGACGAAAGAGACGAGTGGAGGATAAGAGCATGTCCAGGTCTGGCGCATGTTAGTGAGATGCGCCAGCGGAAAGATAAAAATGCGGCTTTTCGTTATATATTTATAATATCAAGTCTGGGCTTGTGGCCCATTATGAGCCCATGTTTTCTTTTATTATTTTTTTGTTCTCACATTGCTCACTTCGGCTCCACGGTAACAGAAGTACGCCGGCGAACAAGGGAGCCGACCTCTCTTCACGTCGGGTTCGGAGTTAGGGTTTTTGGTGATCGCAATGCACCGGCGTTGTGTAACGTTGTTTAGCTCGTTTTTATCGGAGGCGGATCTCGAGCGATCGAGCTGTTTGGCCGGCGGCGGAATGGAGACGCACAATGTGGAGTTGAAGGTGTACGATACGATAACGCAGCAGAAGGAGGTGTTCAAGCCGATCGAGCCCGGTAAATTCGGCATGTACGTCGAAAGTGTACAATACGATGACGCAGCAGCAGCAGGTTTTCTCCTTCGGCATCCTCTCCAGGTATGTTTGTTCTAGCTTTCCCGACTATCTGGATCTCCATCAATTTGGATTTGAGTGCTTCTGGTGAAGTCGGTTGTTACGGTGATTTGCATTCGGATTGCTAGTGGAGAATCTTTGTTCCCTTGTGCTGCGGTTGTTGTCCTATTTTTGTAGTTAATTAGAACCTGAAAGATCGCTGATGAAATATTTGTGATCATACATTCAAATCGCATTTTTTGATTCCTGTTATTATACCTACTAGAATTGAAGAATAAAATAGAGATTTTGAATTCGGTCTCTTTGGAATTCTTGAAAAGGTATGTCGGCTTGATTAGCTTCCTTGCTATTTTCTTTGTTCTTGTCCGGTCTCTCTGAAATTCTTGAAAGATGTGATATAGCATTAGTAGGGTAATGAATAAGGTTAAACCATAGATAAGGTGTATGATCCCGTGTGCCAATTTTGTCTCAGATCATTGAGAAAGATTGTGGGTATGTAGTGGATGGAAATGTGTGCTTCTCTGTTAATACTTGATAATTCACCAAATTGTGGCCAATTATCTGGACAAAAGCTTGATCATACCAGAACCGGTGGATGTGTTGCTGTTGACTCAAGGAAGCGCAACCCAGCTGACTTTGCCTTATGAAAGGTTTAAAATCACAATTTTTTGGTATCCTTTCTCTGAGACAGTATGTCAAGGTCTGGAGTTTTGATTTCTCATTCATTCGTAACACAGGTACTTATATCAGCTGATCAATGCAGGCTGCTAAACCTGGTGAGCCACATTGGGAGAGTCCTTGGGGCCTGGAAGACCAGGGTGGCACATAGAATGCAGTGCAATGAGTGCCCATTATCTTTCTCCAAGATTTGACACTCATGGTGATGGCATAGATCTGATATTTCCTCATCGGGCGAAGTGAGTTCGAAGCTAAAATGTCAGATGACTTGAATGCATCCCATATACTAACAGGTTCTTTACAAGATGCATCAACAGTTTTCGGGGCAAGCTCAAGGTATTCACATATGACATTGATTAAGTTGATCCTCTTCCATTTCCCCTTTCCTTATCCTTTGCCTCCTGCCCGCCTTTCTGCATCTGATGTAAAACATTAGCTCTGCTTGTTCGTGCATATCAATGGCTTGTTCTGCCATTTATGCCTTTCAATTTTACGGAAAATGCAACAGAAGCAGCGGATGCCACTGATTATGTACCTCACAGAGGTTGAAAAAGCAGCTAGGGAGATGCTGGATGTACTCGGCCTGCTGTTTAATCTCAGATATGGCGAGGTAATAATGCCTATGTGAGAGAGTTGTGCTGTTGACACCTTTGGTAATGGGCTTGAGAAGTTTCTGACAGAGTTGAGGCAAAAGGCACCACTGGCAAGGGCAGGACTGGAGAAAGAAGACATCATGATTGATCGAAGAGAGGACAAGAGCTCGGAAGAATAAGGCGTTTGAGAGAATCGATCAGATCAGAGCAGAGTTGACTATATCAAGGGAATATCCCTCATGGATGTCGAGGGCAAAACCATTTGGAGACCATGTGCCCTCTCCTCCTAAACGGTTAAGCCTCAGCTGCAATTGAGGAAGTAACTTATGGCGTTTACTCTTAAAACCCGAATTTTCGTATGTATAGGTTCGTAGACGGAAGTGAATTCTTGGCCTGATGGCATGAATCTTTAGCTCGAGTTCTAGAGTTGTATAAATAAAGCCATAAGAATAATTGTTTCATATCGTGTTTCGGCTATAGTTTGGTTTAGGTATGTCGGTTCAGTGAATAGAACCGGAATAGATATGTTGGTTCAGGTTTGGTTTAAACCGGTTCGATCTATTGACTGGATCTTTGCAAGTATAGGTACTTAGCTGGGGTCTCACCTCCTGGTCTCTCTTCAGCCGTGTGGAATAAGCATCCACAATCCGTATATTCCAATTTCAACACCTAAAAGAGTCTGATTTGGATTGGACCGCCTCTAGTGATAAGGACCTAGAAAACGTACACGTGTATAGCAATCTCATATGCATATGCTTATTTGGGGATTATTAAAAGTAGTAATATATTGTAAAACAAATAAGGTTAGAATCCTTTGACGGGTGTGTATAAATGTCATGTTAGGTATATATGCAAGTGGGGGGAGACCGGGTTGGTGAAACCTACTTATGTCCTAAACCTAAACCTTTCGTTTCACCTAATTTGCTATTAGTTTATTAATATCTTTTAAACCAAACCGTTCTTGTAAATTTGTTATATATATATATATATATATGGTAGGATTCCGTGTTTATCTCAATCTTTGAAATACTATCGCTAAACACATTAAAAATATACTCTGCTGATAATTATCTTATATCCTGTATGCATTTGTGTTGTTGCAATGACGACCGTACAGATGTAAAATGTCGGCGCTAATGACAATGTAATTGCGGGGGGAGGGGAAGGAGAGTTGTATATATAATGTTTTTGTCGTCTAGCTTTTGCAAATTTACAGGCGAATCTTAGCAAAAGCCATTCCAAGTGCAACTACGCATGCTCACAACCACTCCCGTACGTTCGTACAAACTGCATAAAATCTATGATCACATTTTACATAAGCTATTATATATATATATATATTCGAGGTAGGCCAATGAATCGAGTAAATATCTCTGTGCGTCAAACCTAGACCAAAGATATATATACGAAAAACGCCATCTTCATCACGTGGTTTTTGGTTGGTGTTGGTGATAAATGACACGCGCCCTCCTCTTGTCTGCGACGGCGACATTTCTCTTATACACCTAAAAAAAACCTTGAATTTACTAAAATACCCTTCTATGTTTTAAGTCCCAGCTACCCTCTCCTCCGTTTGGCCAGCTCAGGCACTCGCTCCTCTTCCCCTATATAAGCTCTCCTCTCTCCTCTTTCCTTCTTTCTTCTCATCAACCGCCGCCTGCATTCTCTTTCTCTCTCTAAAACCTCTAAATTTTGGAGAGAGAGAGTCCAATCCATGGCCCTTACCAACGCCTCCTCCCTCTCCTCCTCCGCTTCTCTCTCTGGCGGCTCTGGCGCCGGCGGATCTCTTCTCATCCACCGCCGGAACCACCGTCTGCCTTCGCTCCCTTTCCATCCCGCGACCACCGCCAAGCCGAGGTCTTTGAGCCTCATCAGAGCAGTCCACGCGGCGGAGCCCGCAAAAGATGCCGTTTCTGTCAAGGAATCCGCCGTCGCGCCGTCGTTTGGTACCGGTAAATGGGCGTTGGACAGTTGGAAATCTAGGAAGGCGCTGCAACTTCCGGAGTATCCCGACGCGAATGAGCTCGACTCTGTGTTGAAGACGATCGAGGCGTTCCCTCCGGTCGTGTTCGCTGGAGAGGCCAGGAATCTGGAGGAGAGGTTGGCGGACGCCGCCTTTGGAAAGGCGTTCCTTCTTCAGGGAGGGGATTGTGCGGAGAGTTTCAAGGAGTTCAACGCCACCAATATCAGGGACACATTTAGGGTTCTGCTTCAAATGAGCATTGTGCTTACATTCGGTGGCCAAGTGCCGGTGATCAAGGTTAGATCTTCTCTTTAACTGGTGAATTCAACCCTGGATTCAATCTGCTGTGTATCCCCTGTAAAACGATTTCCACCGTTGCTCTCCGCATTGGCTATTTTAGATCGGTATATGAACATAATTAGGATGAAATCTGTGGATGATTATGTTTAGGTGGGAAGAATGGCGGGTCAATTCGCCAAACCTAGATCCGATCCAATGGAGGAGAAGGATGGAGTGAAATTGCCCAGTTACAAGGGAGACAACATCAATGGTGATACTTTTGATGAGAAGTCCAGAATTCCTGACCCCCATAGGATGATTCGGGCTTACACTCAATCTGCTGCGACTCTGAATCTTCTTAGAGCCTTCGCCACTGGAGGGTACGCCGCAATTCAAAGAGTAACACAGTGGAACCTTGATTTCGTCGACCACAGCGAACAAGCAGACAGGTACTATATCAAATTTATCTTCCTCGTTTCCCGTCGTTTAGCTCCTCAATATTAATTTGCTCAGTGAAGGAAGAGTGAAAGTTCCTTTTTAATTTCTCTCACAAAGCCCTAAAGGTTCGTTTCGTTGTTTTGGAAATCTGGTTAAGTAGGTACCAGGAATTAGCCAACAGGGTTGATGAAGCCTTGGGATTTATGTCTGCTTGTGGACTGACTGTCGACCATCCGGTCATGACAACGACTGATTTCTGGACTTCACATGAGTGTTTGCTTCTGCCTTACGAGCAGGCGCTCACCAGGTTGGATTCAACATCTGGCCTGTACTATGATTGCTCTGCTCACATGTTATGGTGTGGGGAGCGTACTCGGCAACTGGATGGTGCTCATGTGGAGTTTCTCAGGGGGATAGCTAATCCTCTGGGCATTAAGGTATTAACTCTATAGCCTAGTGAGTTTAAGATTTGTTCGCATAGATAGACAGAAGGATAGTATTAAGCACTCGTAAGAATCTCATTTCCTTTTAGAAGGATATGTAGATATCACCTAGGAGCTATGTTTCAGAGAGGGCATACGAATTTACAAGAGTTTCATGGCCACTGCCCAATGGATCTTTGCAATATAGGCAATTGACCAGTGTTTTTCTGTTAACAATAGCTGAGAAAAATAAGTGCCATCTTGAACTTTTTTTGAGTTGAGAAAGCTGAATGTGTGGAACCATGGAATGATGCAGGTGAGTAATAAGATGGATCCGAATGAGCTGGTGAAGCTGGTGGAGATCCTGAATCCGAACAACAAGCCGGGAAGGATAACAGTGATAGTGAGAATGGGAGCGGAGAATATGAGGGTGAAGCTGCCGCATTTGATCAGAGCAGTAAGAAGTGCAGGGCAGGTGGTGACATGGGTCTGCGACCCCATGCACGGAAACACCATCAAAGCTCCTTGTGGACTCAAAACTCGTGCCTTTGATTCCATCCTGGTAATAATAAACTTTTAAGCTTAAACCCCCGTTCCCTTGACGATTATTGATCTTAAAACACACCCTAATATCACTATTTATATTGAATTAACTGGGGACAGGCTGAGGTGAGAGCATTCCTGGATGTGCATGAGAAAGAAGGAAGTCACGCGGGGGGAATCCATCTGGAGATGACGGGGCAGAACGTGACGGAATGCATAGGAGGATCTCGTACTGTTACCTTTGATGATCTCGGTTCTCGCTACCACACCCACTGCGACCCTCGCCTCAACGCCTCTCAGTCCCTTGAGCTTGCCTTTATCGTCGCAGATCGCCTCCGTAAGAGAAGAACTTCTACCCGACACCTTTCTTGAATTATCTTGTCATTTCTTTTTAATTTGCGTCGTTAACAAAATGGATCTGTAGGAGGATGATGATTGGGCAGTGTTGTTGTCCATTCCATGGTAATAGCAGAGACTTAGTGTGAGTTTGTACACCTACTCTCTCTCTCTCTCTTTCTGCAATCCCTGTATCCTTCTAATAAACAAGCCTCTTTTGCTGGATATTAACATCTTTTGCCCGTGGATGAAGTTTTAGAAATATTTTCATTATTACTACTTCCCATCCAGGAAAAAAAAACATGTTTCACCAGATGCCACGTATCGTGATTACGGTTGTTGACATACGAAGTTACGAACTCGAATAATCACCAGCTTGTTTAGTCTTTAATATCAATGGGTTTTTGGATAAGAAACTTTCAATTCGAACAATAGAATTGTTCGTCTTTTCTCCGTAATCATCCATCAGAGACATTATTGATTGACAAACATAAAAAGCAATTGCAAATTATCGGAAAAACCACAACAGAAACAAAAGAGTACAACCTCGGAGTTCGTTCATGTCCGGGGGGAGGCTTTCATTTCATGCTGTTTCCACGTCAAGAGGGCAGCCAGTCTCGCCATTGGTTCTATTTACTGGACTAGATTCCACCTCTTCGACACTCGGAGTTCTATCGTTAAGCCGCTCGAGCAGTTCCTGGCAGTCAGCGGGTGCAACCATAACGCCCAAACTGGTCTTACCCCTCCAGCATCCGATGGCTATCGTCGATCCATCCACCTTCACTGGTTCCGTCCCCGACTGGGTTCCTGTTTGGTGACCGAAAACGGTAAAATGATATGCATTGTCACCAAACACATCTTTAGAACGAGTCAGACTGTGATATGTATATAGAATCATAGATACGCACCATCGTTGAGAATGACCACGCAGCACCCCATCACCAGATTGGCTGCTTTCTGACCCAGTTCTTGATCCACAAAATCTGGGAACTTGATCGATTTGTATTGCAGTAGATGTTTGAAATCCGCCAACGGCGCATACAGTATTTGTTTCGTGATGTACGGAAGTATCGTCGGCAACCCCTCTGACGATATTCGGAACGAGCATGGCACACTTGTTCCTTCTTTCGACGACTGCCTCTCCTATATTCATTTTTTTGTTTCAGACATGGTAAGCTTGCTCCAGTGGATTAGATAACTAGACAAAAATGACGAGTGGAGGAGGAAAAGATGTGCTTACAAACATCTTGAGGCCGACGGAGGCAATCTTTAGCTGCTGCCCGACTGCAAAATTCAGCTCAAGAACATCCTTAACTGATTTTGAGACATAATAAATTCTCTTTACGCTGCTTGTATCACTGTTTCTCGTCACGAGATGACCGTGCAGTGGGAAGGACTCTCTGATGCCGTAAAATGACTTGATGCTGTTGATTACCGTATCATCTTTCAGGAAGACAACAGGGTCGAAACCTACCCACTTCCCTTGCATCGGTAATTTTCTCTTGCCTCCTGTGTTAGCTGTGTTAGTTTCTTTACCGTCGGGTACTTGAGTTTCTTCCACGACTGATTCTCCATCTGCCTTTTTGTTCTCAGGCTCTATTACATCATCTCCATCTGCTTTGCTGTCTGAAAGGTCGTTGCTCGATGCTGCCTCTGAAACTTTTTCCTCTGCATCCTCTTTTGCATCAGGAGACTTTGCCGATGATTCATCACTCCGGGTAGACAAGTTTTTTCGTGGATTTGTTCTCTCCTGTAGCTCTACGAGAAATTACATATGTTCTCATAAGACTGGTGCATAGCGATGACAGATAATCATCATTCATCACTCAAAAAAAACCCACCTGGCAAGGGAGAGACTTTCTGAAGGACTGCGATGAAAAAGGCTCCAGTGTTCTGATCATGAGGCGATATCCTCATGCAGCGTTCGAGGGGGAGATTAGAAATTTCCTCAACCGATTCATCAGATGAAGCAGCTTCTGCGTTCTCTGTTTCTTTGCATCCACCTTGACAGCCATCACCACTGCCGTTCTCAGGGTTTTCCATATAACTTTTCCCAGAAGGAAACATGCTCTGAAGGATTCCACCTCTCCGATACTTGGGAACGTCTTTGTAAGAAGTGAACCAGGCACCTTTATCACGCACCTGAATTCACAAAAAAACGGAGAATACATGAACTTAAATACTCTTATTAGAAGGCGAGCAACTAGATGGCGAAACTACAAGTTAGGAAGAAGAGCGTTCGTAGTAGCAACTGACCTTCCATGTCTTAAGACCTGGCCTCCGAATAAGTTCAGGAAGCTCGTTCAAGACATCTAGAAGCTCAACAGAGCCTGCACACCTCCTCAGGATCTGAAGAATATATCTAAAAATTAGCGAAAGAGATCAACAATAAGCAGAATTCCATTCAAGCAAGGGATTTTCCAACCAAAAAATTACCTCGGCAACAACAGCTTCATCCTCGACTGGGTTCATTGAGCAGGTTGAGTATATCATTCTCCCACCGACTTTTAGCAGAGATAAGCCTGGTTCAGAACAGACAACCCAGATTGATAAGACAGGATATTCGGCAATCGGGAAATCTAAGAACTACAAATTGATACCTCTCATGGCAAGCAAAACCTGTAGACCATGGAGTCCATTGCCCATTCCAGAATTCCTGTGCAGAATCAAAACAAGATAAGAATCTCAAAGCAATGTAATCAATGACCATCAACTGATGCCTATTATATGGCAGATTGGTGAAGGAAAAAAGACAACACCATTTCCGCCAGATGTCTGGAGCCTTGCGGAGGGTACCATCACCGCTGCATGGAACATCGCACAGGACACGGTCAAAGGAAAGCTGGTTAAGATCCAAATCTCCGCCACTCAATCCTTTCTCTGCGACTCTGGAAGAACCCTTGCTCAAGCGGCAACCAGGGAACTGTTGTCCTTCATGGTTAGTGACAATTAGGTTGGCCGTGCACATTCTTTTTGTTTGGTGAATAAGAAGGTTAGACCTTTGGAAGTCAACATCGTTTGCTACGACCTGCGAGAGAAACAAAATAGAACAGACATATTCATCTACCAAACACAGAGTTAATAGATAGGAAGGCTAGAAATTACAGAAGTTGTACGTATAGCTACCATTCCATTAGGTAGCGTTCCTGGTTCTGATGAACCGTGAATTATCTCGAGCAGCTGGAACGTTTTGGAACCAGGTGCAGCACACACTGTCCACGTAAAACAGAAGCAAGTGATCAACTTACCATTAACCTTATACTATCCCAGATTACAGATGGTATCATGGCCAATGGAGATTTCTTGCTTTGGCAAGGCAGATACTTCACAAGACCAGACATCCATCTGTAACAATGTTAAGTAAGTTCCACTTACTGTCGAGTACAAAATGATCTGGGTGAACGTCGAGGAAGAGAGGTGGCACCTGCATGATAAATTTGGTATTAATTGTAAATGTGGTAATGATAAAAGCAAATTGAGAATGTTAACGCACCATGCTCACTGCCTCCTGCCTGGTTATATTTCCGACTTCATTTTCTAGTTTCAAAAACTCATGAAACCTGAAAACTCAAAGAGAATCATCACAAATTAATGAACAACTATCTGGGTTGCGTTGTATAAGTTCAAATCCAAAAACACGTGCAAGGTAAGGAGAACTGAAGCATCCACTCAATGAACTGAGATAAAAGTGCATTTATCCCACAACAAGAAAGCTACTCTTCACTTGCAAGAAAATGTCATTTGCCCTTAGTTCACATCATTAACCCACGGTTCCGCGTAATTCTCAAATGTACCTTTGAAGTGTCTGAACTTTTCTAATCTGCTTGCGAGAAAAATTAGAATGCCAAGCAAGATTTCTCGGGAACCAAGGCAACGGCTTGATAGCCTCCGATTCACCACCCTCTATGGCCTTAATAGGAAAAAAAACAAAGTGAATCTGATAGCTTCCAACATAGAATGGCAATGAGCATACTAACCACTTAAGAACATCAATTACCTCAGCCTGAAGAGATTTCATGAAGTCGTTTTCTAACTTTGATAGAATGTCATCACAAAATTGGCCACTGTAAATCAACAAAAATGAATTTCACAACACAAATGAGTTAACAATCAAATGCTGTCATTGAAATCATAACAAATCTCAGAGGTCCAACCAAATGCTGAACTTTAACGAACCAAGACCATTGATATTAAGACATGTGAACAACTAGATACAGATCAGAGAGAGGAAATAACATACTATGAGTTGACTCTAAACGCAGCAGGCAAGGGCTTTCGAAGAACTTCCATGAACAAATCCCACTCTTCTGGTTTCACTATCCTTTGCTCCTTCCACCACAAAAAAAAAAGAAATACATGTTAGAGAGTATTACAATATCAGATCCATGGATCAAAAAATGAAACCATGAAAGCTCCACAAAGCACTCAATACTAAAAGTTTATGAGAACAATCCGAAAAACTGAATGAGATCACGCGCAAGGAAATGGAGCATCGACATAACAACCAAAAGAGATGCAAACTTTGGACAGACACAAGAATGATACCTTGTAGTACTCCTCAAACGCAGGGTTCTCCGTAATAAGCGGCGCCCAGCCAGGGTTTTCAGAGGCAGGGGCAGGGTTGTCGGAATCAACGGGAGCATCGGATTTCGGGCGTTTCCAGACATTTTCTCGACTGTCTTTGTAATGCTTTCTCTGGGAACGACCTCTGTGTCTCCCTCTTCCCATCACGTAGTTCCTGTCGGAAATTTCAGTCTCCGGCAGCGCCGCCTACAATCTCTTTCTCACCGAAGCGAAAATCCAAAGAACAGAATGCTCCTCTGCCGCAATGTGCGTGCGAGCCCTGGCGGGTTTAGAACACGCGACGATGTTTTCGTTTTGGGTCTTCGGCGATCTAAATCTCAGGGCTTCCAATAATAGGCCTAGGGTTTAAGCTCGTGTAAAACGCGAACGGCTAATGGATGAATTTAATGGGCCTTATTGGAAAGTGGGCCTTGTCGTAACTATAAAAGCCCATGTCCATGTTATTGTAGATTTTTGTTTTCATCTCTCCCCTGCCCCTTTCCAATCCATGTTGTCTTCGTCCTTTCTGGGTTTCCCAATCCATCGATTGCAGAATCTTGGTCATAAAACAACAACTAAATGCACATATTGCGGAATTCTTGTTCAAGCAATATGAACTCATGGATTGGATTTTTATATCTACAAAGCAATGCCAACCCTAACCTTCAGCTTTCACGTTGCAGTACTCGTACAGCGGCACGATTCAATCGCGCGCGCGCGTGTGTATATATACACACATATATGTCGTATTTACGAAATTAAATACCCAAAAATGATCGACTAAAATGTCTTTTAGTGTTCTGGAGACTGCAGCTGAGGCGGCGTAGGAGGCGGAGTCTGCTGCTTCTCTTGCTGATCACTCGATGGCTCCTTCTTGTGAGTAAAGCTCTTTCTCCTGACGAGAAGATCCCCGAATCTTCGTATAAACGCCTTCTTCTTTCTTCCTCCCTTGTTGTTTTCGCCTTCCTCCAAATGGGTACCCTCTAAATTCTCTAAATCATCTGAATTTATAGGCTGTCCGTCTTCCAAGAACGTCAAGGATGATTTTCTTCTGTGATGATGGGTCGTGGCCGCGTCTGGGGTCTCGGCCACGTCAAAGATTGAGCCTTTGAAGAGGTCTGAGTCTGACCCTGGAGAATTAACCTCGCTCTCCACCTCGTCTGTTCCTTCGTGTGTGTTGTTGTTTGCCGCAGCTTTTGTCTCTTCATCTGTCGTGTCTTTGTGTTTGTGGGAGTGAGAGATCTTTAGGTCTTTCAGACTGAAACTGTGTTGTTCTTTCTTGTCCTTATTATGGTGATCTTTCTTGTCTTCCTTCTTGCCGTTGTGTTGCTGTTCTTTCTTTTCCTTGTGATTCTCCTTCTTCTTCTCGACTTCTTGATCTTTCTGCGTTGAGTTTTGACGGCTTAGCAAATTCTGACAGCTCGTAACTTCGTTTTTCTCTTTGCAATCTGCTTTTGTCTCCTTAGACTCTGCTTCAGACAGAAGCCTTTTCAGGTTCTTTACATCTTCGTTAGCAACTGCTTCTCTAAGCCTTGAGCGATCGATTTCTTGTAAAGCGAAGTGAAGCTCTTCTTCCTTGTCCATCAATGCATCTTTCAGCTGCGAGTTCTCAGCTCTGGCTATGCCCCCAGCTTCTTTCGCAACGTTAGCCTCATTGATCGCCTGCTTCAGTATATCCCTTAGCTTCTGATTCTCATCTTTCGCCTTCTTGCTCAGGTTTTCGGCGTTCATTAGAGCCTGAAGCAACCTATTGTTCTCATCTATGAGGGAATTCTTCTCATCTTCCCCTCTCTTGATGCAGCTCACAAACACTGCCTCTTTCCCGTTCCAAGCCAATAGTGACTCTTCAGCCTCGATCCTCAGCCTCTCGGATGTGTTCTTCCACAGATCCGCCTCCTTTCTCGCTTCTTTCAAAAGGGTCTCGTAGTTTTCCTCCATAGCCTCGAGTTTTTCCTTCCATTGTTTCGCTTCTAACCTCTCGGCCTCAAGCTTCACCTCTGTAACCTCAAGCTTCTGCTTAGCCTGTGTGCAATCGGTGGCTACTTCTTTCAAGGCCAACGCCAAGTCATCCATTGCCTTCTTGCTCGTTATCTCTGCCTCCGTCGCTAATTTCAGTTCGTTCTTGATCAAACCCATCTCTTCTGTTAAGCTCGATAGCTTCAGGGAAGAAGTTTCCGCTACCTCGTGGGCATCAGCGAGATTCTCCTTCGTGGATTCCAGCTCCATCTTCAGAGCTTCAATGTCAGATTCCTGAACAGAACTGTCGTCTTCGCTAGAGTCTTGGCTCTGGACAGATCCGTCGAGCCTTTCCTTGAGAGACGCGATCTCGAACTTCGATTCTTCCACCAAAATCTTGGTTTCCTCGAGCGAATCGAGCAGTTTTCTCTCAGATTCTCTCCCTTTCTCCAACTCTGTTTCAAGCTCCATGAGCGTGATGCCTTTCTCAGACAACTCCGCTCTCAGGGACATGATTTCGATATCTCTGTCCTGTAATGAAGCTCTCATCTTGGTAAGCTCCGTACCTATATCCGCAACCTTGGTTGAGTACTTGGGGCTAACCTTCAGATCAGAAGAATGTTCAGTGGCAGGTTTCGACTCTTTGTCAGCTTGGATTTCGCCCTCCGACGCCATGGACGATCTCACCTCTTGCCGTTCCATCATCCTTTGATTCAGATCCTGTTCGTTGGCACCTGATGAAGATGACGTGATATGCAAGGAATTATCAGAGAGAGAGGAATGAGAATAGTCGATAATAAAAAAGCAAAGGAAGAGAGGTTAGAATTTGTTTAAAATAAAAGAGAAAAAGAATTAATGGCAATAAAACAAGTTTTATGGGAGTTCGAGAAACATAGTTTTGCGGCAAACCTTTCTTCACGTATTTCCCTTGTATATGAATATATAGAAATTAAACTTTCGCTATATATGATGGGCTTGACAAACTGGGCCTATAAAAAGCCCATTTAATTATTCTTACAGTTCGGTACAAAACACGGACGGCCTTTGGTCACACAAATACGCTGCGACGCGACGACGATAATTTTCAAGATATTCATAAATGGGGCTCTGAAACGATACCGTATCATCGGAAGAATAGATATTTTGGAGTTGCGAAACGACGTCGTGTTGAAGAATGCACAGGAAACTCAAGATTTTATCAAAAAAGAAAGGGAAAATATCTAAAAAGGCATGCCACGTCAGCAGAAAGTGATCACTGGGACCCTTGATTCAATGGCGGTTGTTCGTTCTCTTCTTCTTCTTCTTCAAAGCTATTCTTCTGTCTCTCGATCTACATGGGAATGGCGTCACTCACTTTCCGATGCGGATCTGCTCCTCTTCTCCCTTCGTGGTATGCAATCATTTTATGGATTCTGTTTTCCATCGAGTTCGGTTTTCTTTTCCTCTGGTTTGCTCGAATATTCGTATGGTTTTTGTTACTTTGTTTGGCTGGCAAAAGTTGGAGCCAAAGTTTTTTTAATTTCGGGATTCGACATTCGGAATTGTATTGGATGTTCGAGGATTTGAATTTCACTGCTAATTCTGCTAGGTTACCGCTAATTTTCATCGCATCGGATGGGATGGGACTGTGACACTGTGTATATGTGTAATTACGTATATGTATCTATGATGTGTACGTCTATGCTTTTGTATATTCATGTGGCGATGCATTGCATGCGAGAGTAGATTCAGGAGACGTATAATCGATCTGCAACGTCATAGCGTCTGGACCTTTTTCGCGTAGGGATTCAGTAATTCATGTTTTAAGCTTTCCAATGGATTCTTTTGGTTATATATATTGGTCTTTTAAGTATTCTAAGTGTTTTTAAAATTATTGCATTTGATTGGTGTTTGACTTTGGGTAACAAGAAGAAAGGTGCCAATAATTCTCTTCTCTCTTTGATTTAAGTAATCTTCAAGCGGCGAAACCATTTAGAAAGAGCTGGTTATGCCCCGGGATCATGTCGGACAAGCTGATGGGAAGATTGTATGAAAGAGTCAGATTCGCGGTGATGTCTGGGGAGGGAGATGTTCTGTTTTATTCCAACAGCAATGGAGCTGCAGGACAGGAGAGTTTGGTTATGAAGCAACCGGGTCAATTGGTAGGGGTTGAGGTTCCACCAGAATTGACTGCATTTGGAATGCTTGCACCTGAAATGATTCCCCCAATGGCGGTTCCCTCTGGATGTGAAGCTGAAGAGTACAATTTAGACCGGCCTACAGAAGGGTTTGCCTCCATTCCTGAGGCTGTTGAGGATATTCGCCAGGGCAAGGTTGTTTTTTGTTATATGTATTACTTTTTTGTTGTCAGAAGGGTAGGTCATTGCACTAATCGGGAGTTATTTGCAGCTGGTGATTGTTGTAGATGACGAAGACAGAGAAAACGAGGGCGACCTTATAATGGCGGCGTCATTGGTAACACCAGAAGCTATGGCTTTTATTGTTAATTATGGGACTGGAATTGTATGTGTGAGCATGAAAGGCGAAGACTTGGAAAGGCTGGAGCTTCCCCTGATGGTGACACAAAAGGAGAATGAGGAAAAGCTTTCCACAGCTTTCACCGTCTCAGTGGTAAGTGGCTTAGCGTTACCATTTCTCGAAAGAAAAATTCCCACTAGAAAATGGTCATTGCCTTTGAATGTTGGCTTTGTTAAACTTCTCCGGGTGGTGAGCGAGCTTTCAACTACAGGATAATCTATTGTATATCAACGTATTCATGCTGTTTGTTTGTTTGTTTTCCTAAAAGGGGTGTGTGTTACAAAGTTTAATGGATCTCGTATTAGGATGAACAATTTGTTCATTCATGTTAGGATGCAAAACGGGGAACAACAACAGGTGTTTCAGCTCGTGATAGAGCACAAACAATATTAGCTCTTGCATCAAAAGATTCTAAAGCTCAAGACTTTAATCGGCCTGGTCATATTTTTCCACTGAAGTACAGAGAGGGCGGTGTTCTTAAAAGAGCAGGACATACTGAAGCTTCTGTAGATCTAGCTGCATTGGCTGGCTTAGATCCAGTAGCGGTTTTATGCGAGATTGTAGATGATGATGGCTCTATGGCTAGATTACCAAGGCTCCGCCAGTTCGCTCAGGGAAACAACTTGAAAATAATTTCGATTGCTGATTTAGTCAGGTAAGGAGTATGGGCTGAATGCAAGATTCTAACTTTACACATCTTTCACAGGTTGATCATATCTATAATACGATTTAGCAGAGCATTGATTTAGATCTTTTTGTTTCAACTGGCAGGTACCGGAGGAAAAGAGAGAGATTAGTGGAATTGGCTGCTGCTGCACCTATTCCAACAATGTGGGGACCTTTCAAAGCGTATTGCTTCAGATCATTGCTTGATGGAGTTGAGCACATTGCAATGGTTAAAGTAAAGAAACCTTGTTGATCTTAGATGCATTGTGCTTTAATTATTCATAAACTCAAACCTCTGTTTTGTTAATGGAATATGTCTATATGAATGAAGGGAGAGATAGGGGAAGGGAGAGATATACTGGTGAGAGTGCATTCAGAATGCTTGGCAGGAGACATATTTGGTTCTAGCAAATGCGCATGCGGAAAACAACTAGAAATGGCAATGAAACAGATAGAGGCGGCCGGGAGAGGAGTGTTGGTGTACCTTCGAGGCCACGAGGGAAGAGGCATCGGGTTAGGCCATAAGCCACGAGCCTACTCTGATCCGTCAGAGGCCGTGGAAGAGCAGACGGGGTCGGCTTCCGAGTCACGGGAGTATGGGATTGGTGCACAGGTAAAACAAGTGTCTGATACCCTTTAACACATAATGCCCATGAACATATCATGACAGATGATGATGATGATGATGGGGTTTGCAGATTCTGAGGGATCTGGGGGTGAGGGGGATGAAGCTGATGACAAACAACACAGGAAGCTACGTGGGTCTGAGAGGGTATGGTCTCTCCATCTCCGCAAGGGTTCCTCTCTCGCCCCATTAAAGACAAAAAGATATCCCTTTTTGAGTTTCTCTGTCTTAAGGCCTTGGGGTTGGATTTGTAGGTGGGTGATATTGACTGCTCATTCCCCTTTTGTTTTACACTTTTTTTAGAATTAAATTATATATAATTGCCGTTGATTACATATCTGAAATTTAATAAACCGAAAGTTGCTGTGGACATATAAATGAAAGCACGAAATAAAAGGCCAAAATTTGGTGATCATCACCATAACATAATTCACACCACAATTATCATTGAAAAAGGAACAAGAGGCGAGCATATATGGTTCGGAAGTACAAAAGCAACAAAGCAATGCCAAATATTTAGCAGTGCTAAAAAAAATTAGAAATGGAATTAACACGGTCACTTATAAGTTTTTTTTATCGAATCCCCCAGAAAAAAAAAAAGACAGTACCTTCGTGTTCTTCAGTCCACCATACTTGCCATGCTTGAACAACGGGAGAAAAAAAAATGGAAATTGAAGGGGGAAAAAGCGTATCATCTTCTCAGTCATCAAACTGGTCACCGGAGAAGGTAGATACTGAGTTCCTGTCCGATATTCTCAGCGGGGTCGATCAAATGGAAAGATTCCGATTCTTTATTAGAACCAGAAACCCTTCTGAAATTAGCCCTCAGGTACATCAACTCGTCACCTCCTCCGTCCCCCTCGAGCTCTTTCCCGCTCACCACGCCGGCTCCCACCACCACCGACCTCAGAGCCGCCAGAGCCTCCGCATCTTCCTTCGACGGCCTCCGTCTCCTCGCGTACCCGACTCTTTTGCCATTGCAGTACATATTCCACGATACGGAATCTCCTTTTTTGTCGTTTTGTTGTCTTTCGGATTCCGTGTTGCATTCGAGCACTATACGTAGCACTCCTCCTCTCATCTCCCGAGCCAAGACCGTTGTCGGGACGGCAAGCTCGAGAAGAAGTTCAGGGTTCGTTGATTTTGACGATTTCTGAATGCAGAAGCTGATTTTCCCCCCGTGGTAGCCGAAGATTGTGCCCGTGACGGTGGTTGAAGAAGGGGACGAAGAACGAAACGAGGGTGTGCGAGATTTGTGGGGGTTGGAGTAGGTTTCGTTGTAAAGTTGCTTGCTTTGCAAGTTAGGGTTTTCTTGTTCGTGTTCTTGGACAAACGCGCAGTTGCAGGTCGGGATGAGAAGCTCCATAACAGAGCGGAGAAGCCGCCACGACCGGACTTGCTTGTGGCAATCCACTGTCGTAACCACCGCCGACGGAATGGCTGTGGCCGCCGGCGCGATTTTAGGGTACGACATCTTTAATATACGAATCGATGATATTTGATATATATATTGAACAAATATAGTTTCTTTGTGTATGATTAAGAAACCAAAGAAGACAAAGGTTTCATGGGTTATATAGAGGAGACAGAAGAGGATTGATGAGTACCTTTTCTTTATTTACTTTATTTATTTTCAAAGGAGAAAAAAGAAAATAACTCTTATTTTTAATTTACAAGTTTTCATGTTTGGGTTATGAGAGACAATTTCTGAGCTCTGATTTGTAAAGCGTAACTCGTGTCGGGTTTTGTGAACAAGTTGAACCACTACTTACCCATTTTAGGGTACGACATCTTTAATATACGAATCGATGATATTTGATATATATATTGAACAAATATAGTTTCTTTGTGTATGATTAAGAAACCAAAGAAGACAAAGGTTTCATGGGTTATATAGAGGAGACAGAAGAGGATTGATGAGTACCTTTTCTTTATTTACTTTATTTATTTTCAAAGGAGAAAAAAGAAAATAACTCTTATTTTTAATTTACAAGTTTTCATGTTTGGGTTATGAGAGACAATTTCTGAGCTCTGATTTGTAAAGCGTAACTCGTGTCGGGTTTTGTGAACAAGTTGAACCACTACTTACCCACGTAACGTACGTACCGTTTTATATACATTTTGTAACTATAAACTGCTACGTGCTTACAATATAATTAGGGTTATAAATTGTGTCGTGGGGGTGGTCTTGGCATTATTTATTATACGGTTTCAGTCCCAAAGGAAAAATATTTATTTCGCTCTCTAATCGTGTTTGTTATCGCCTATTGTATCCAATAAACTCACTTTTAGCTCTAATTAAGCTCGATATAATTGCGTATATATTATTAGTTTTGGTTTTATTAAGTTGCCCATTTTACCTAAAAATGTATATTTTTTTTTGTATTTACAAACCAAATGATTTTTTTAGGTGGGAATAATATTATTTTAGATGTGAATTTTTAGTACCTTCTTTAGCAAACAATCATCTACTTCGTTGGCAGAGAGAATGATATGAAAAATATTCGTGCGTACGTGTGTTTACGTAATTCATAATCCCATGCATCCATAGGTACCGAATTATACGTTTATTAAAATTTAAAAGAGCGAAGACGAACGATAGAGAAAGCCAAAAGATTACAGATTGGATGAAATTATTTCCGAATAATTATGACCCTTTTTTTCCACTTTTGCCTTTTCACCTGCTTAATGGAAATATATATATATATATACACACACACACACGTACGACACGCAGAGTCTCATAATTTCCTAATGATTAGGCCATTAGATCTCTATGAAACATTCAGCTAATTTTTTAAAAAATTTATTTAATATTATTCCAATCATTTAGCACTTCGCTATAAAGTCTACTAGATTCTCCATTTTTTTTCGATTATAAAATTCTCCATTATTATAACATTTGCATGATATTATCTAAAATTACTCTTAATGAAACTCGGAGCTCTCACTTTAATATATATTCCATTAGATTTAAACCGAATCGAATAATCTTAATTACCGAAATTTTTAAAAAAATATATAGAAGACATACATCATCATGAATTATACCTAGAGGAAATAAATTTTTCGGAATATACAGAAAATAAAAACATATTTACGAAATGACTATTTTTTAAACTTTGCAATCTATAAATACATTAAAGGTCAATTATTTTTATATTTATGCATGCAATAAAGAAAAAGTATATCTCACTTTTTCCATTATTTAAATGAAAGATAAATAGAAAAATTACTTGGTTATCGCTTTTTGAGACCCTACATCACTTAGAAAATGTGGATTCCAAAACAAAATAAAGGAGAAAAAACAAAACACAAGGTAACCCTATATTTTTTTTGTTGCCCCCCTTTTTGTATAATATCTATAACTTTACAAAAATTCAAAAAAAAAACAGAACAAAAGGAATCAATGAGCTTTATTTGAAATTACAAAAGAAAAAAAGTGAATTTGTCCAAATGTTACAAAAAGGGAACAAGTTTTGTGCTTTCTAGCCTGGTTTCTCCACTCATGTCTTTTGTCCATTTTCTTCACCTTTGTCCATATATGCTTAGCTGCTATTTTCCTTAATTATGCCTCATTACATAATAATTTAATCTAATAATCTGATAATATTGATACATTCTCTTTTATGTTGCCATGCTTTGCTCAAGATTGGGAATTAAGACTTTGTCAAAGCATAATCCCAACCAAATGAAGAGATTAGACATAAGTAATTACGTGCATGCATGTAATAATTAATATAGTTCAAGAGTGTCATAAGTGAGAACCTTTGTTCCTTAATTAGGGTTAATATGGTTCAACCAATAGGAGTTTTGCTCAATTTTAATCATTTACATCCAAAAAAAGGGACAAAAAGAAGGGGGGAAAAAAACTAAGACAAAAGGGACACATCCCATTGTCTCAATTTTGTTGCTACTAATTCTACTGGCACCTCTTAGCTGTTCTTGTTCCCTTGTTTCATCTTGCCTTCAATATGAGATAGAAACGAATTGCGTACACTTCCATATATACACAAATATTGCTACAATCTAAGACCCGATGAGTAGGGTTTAAAGAGAATTTGAAGGTCTAAAGGGGAAGAAACTGAGACCCTTGGGGGTGTAAATTAGATAAAGTGAAAATAAGTTGCATAAAATTCAATAAAATAAACAACGGCCTCCTCCTTTTAAGGCCCTGGCAGATAATGGGCCTACAGATTGGACTATTGTACCCATTAAGAAAATAATGGGCCTATTGTTAGGCCAGCTCATCCTACAGGATGATAGAGTTGGCGTCATATATGTATATATATATATATATGTGCTTTGTCTGTATTTGAGATTACGTGTTCACAACTGAAATGTTTATTAAAAATATATATTTTTTGGATTAAGTCAACAGAGAGCGATGACTCTTCTCTTTTAACCGAATCGAAGAGACGATTTTAATGGGTTCATTTGTCCTTTTTAACTGTTTCCGCTACACACACACATATATATATATATATATATATATATATATATATATGCTAAATATACAATACCTTCTTCAACGTAAAACTATTTCTCATTAAAAAAGTAATAATTTTATAATTTATTTCATTATTCCGTACGGATTATTAGGTAGCTATGTTATGTGATGGACACAGTGGCTGGCGGACCAAGGATAATTTATGAAAGAGGGCAAAGTAATTTTTACAGTTTAATATAGAGGACATTTAACATTTTTTATTTAAAAAATTATAAAATTTATAAAGAAATTTAATTTTTTTTAGTTAAAACAATGGGGTCCTTTGGTGTACATGCGTCCGCCACTGGATGGACACATGAAAATGTGTATGAAACGCAGGTGTAAATAAAAGATAATTAAAATATTTACAATGTCAATGGAAATATATAATACGTAGAAATGGAAGAAGAACCTGTCTTAGGGCAAGTTGACAGACAAACTGTGGGCGGAACTCAACTGATCAAAACCCCCCATTAGTTTATAGAATTAGCCTTTCAAGTTTACTTGAGACAACCTCTGCTCTTCACCAACACTTTCCCTCGATTTATTTTTTGTTTTTTTTTTTTGGATTTTACGTAATCTTTATATTAAGGCCGCAAAAGCATTTGATGCAGCTTGAATCGTTAATCTTGTTCCACGTGGATAAACCCCAGCCGTCGATATACCATACGGTTCTTGGACGACGAGACGACCATGTTCGCCTTCGTTTCGGTCGAGGCGATGATCGGAGATGAGCGATTCAATCGTCACCGTCGGCTTATCATTTCGACGATCCTAGCCCTCCACGTGGCAGTTCTCCTTTCGAGAGCCCACGCGCAGCCCATGTCGCCGAGCTCGTTGCAGCAGAATCCTCATCCTTCGAAGGCCATTGTCTTCGCCGTCCTCCTCAGCCTCTTCTTCTTCATCGGATTTCTCTCCGTCTACCTCCGCAACTGCTCTGGGTCCGATACCACATCCGCCGGATGGGGTAGCCGCCGCTCCGGCGCCTGTTCGCGGTGGAGCGGCCTGGACGACTGCGTCGTGGAGACCTTCCCAGTCTTCGCGTACTCCTCCGTCAAGGACTGTAAGATCGGATCCGGCGCGCTCGAATGCGCCGTCTGCCTCAGCGAGTTCAAGGAGAACCAGATGCTTCGGCTGATCCCGAGGTGCAATCACGTCTTCCACATCGATTGCATCGACCCTTGGTTGCAATCTCACGACACTTGCCCTGTTTGCCGAGCCAAACTCGCGCCGTATTCCGGCGAGGATGAGCCCCCAATAACCGAGTCGGTCGGCGCCGAGTCAACCGACCCGGAGAACTCGGAGACCAATCGGGTGAGAGATCACATCGCGATCGACATCGAGGGTGATCGAGCCAGAGATGCGGTGACGATCGATGCCGTGATGAGAAACGACCGCCGGCAGTTGGGATCAGGAATCGCAAGGAAGTTCCCGCGGTCGAACTCCACGGGTCACTCACTAGGACAACTCAGGGGCACCACGGAGAGGTATACTCTGCGGTTGCCGGAGGACGTGAGGAAGCGGATAATGGCAGCAGGGGGCGGCAGGAGACTGAAGCGAACGAGGAGCTACGACGGCGGCGGCGGAAGGAAGTACGAGGAGAGGTTGCCGGAGCGGCGGGGAAGAGAGCGGCAGCAGCAGAGGGAGAGGTTATCGAGCCGGGTCGGGTGAAAGATCGGATAGGGTCAGTTGGACGGGCCGATGGGGTTCATTCGTCTCTAGGATGGGCGCCGTTAGATCACCGTTGGATAACGGTGAAGCCACCGTCCGTACGGGCACGCGGTGACGGCCACTTAAAATGACGCCGTTAAATTTAACCGTCAGTCGCGTGGTGGAAGGTATGCTTTGATTTGAAGCTTCGTCTTTGGTTTGGTTTGTTGATAATCGGGTTAATGTTATTTGGTTAGAAACTATTTTTTTTGTGTGGCTGTACTTGTTTGTTGATGCATCCGAATGCGGAAAGATAGCTTGTTTAACATCTCGTTAAACAAGTGTTTAAGTGTTAATCTCTTTTATTGTGAATGTTTTTTTTTATAAAGAAAATTAAATAAATGTTTTTATTGTGAATGTTGTGTATATTTGTTTGTTAAAGCTTGGGAACAAGGCGGTCCTAAAACTTGTTAGTGGATATCGTATGACAAACTCTAATATAGTGTTTGTTCTTCCTCTTTTTTCTACATAAATTATATTTTAAATTTAAGTTGGCAGATACGACAATGTAATATTGTTTTTTTTAATCTATCTTTACCTACCATAAATATTATTTGAATCCAGACAAAAAAATAAAATAAAATATAGTTTTTGATCAAAATGTATCACTACTGCGCCCAAAACGCGTTCCGGATTCGGTTGGGTCTTAGTGGGTCCGTGAACTTTTCTATGGACTTGGGTCTTATATTGGATTGTGGGCCCACTAAGAGACGTTAACCGGTCAAAGCTGTCTAAAATCTATCTTTGGCGCTTAAAAATGGAAATATGGCGTATCACTTTTTACGGTATCTCACCGCTCTTGTCGACAGTTTTCCCGGTAAGCCCTTCCCCCTTTCACATCCCAAAGTTCCTCCATAAAAATTAAGAACAACAAAAAACACAAATTTGAAAGGAAAAAAAAAAAAGAAAGAAGGAAGGAAAGAAAGGCAAAGCCAACGATACCATACTTGCAAAATTCAAAATCCATCGTATAGAGCTCGGGTGAGAGAGCTGGTCATTGGTGACAATGGAGCCGTCGAAGGGAGAGACGGAAGCGAAGACGGAGGCTCAGGTGAAGGATCAGAATCCGAAGCCACCACAGAGCGCCGATCCGAAGGCGACGGATCAGGGACCGAAGGACGGCGAGGATGCGAGTACCGTGATCGCCTTGTCTGAGGAATCTGCGGACCCGGTCGGAATCGAAACACAGGGAGGTCAAACGGCGGCGCAAGCGCCTACTCGATCGGCGTCAGGATCGAGGAAATCGGTCCACTGGAGCCCCGAGTTGGTGAGCGAGTCTCCGGCGCCGGATCATAAGAGCTTTCCGTCATCTTCCTCCGTTGGATCTAATCCGTACGTCGCTCGTTCTCCGGTCGATACGTCGGCGACCTCATTCACAGGTAGTGTGTGAACGGTGTCTGTTTTTGGTCAGTGCATTTGAGGCGTGTGTGAAGATGTTTATATTTGTTATCCCTTTGAATTGGATCAGATACAATGGAGTCTGTTAAAGGAGTGTTTGGGAGATGGGGAAGGAAGGTGGGAGAAGCAGCTAAGAAGGCGGAGGACCTGGCCGGGAACACCTGGCAACACTGTGAGTTTCTGATTCAATATCTTGTCAGAATCTGTATCCTCTGTTTCATTCAAATACTTTATGATGTTTGCAAGCAGATTTAGTGGGTTGTTTGTCAGTGAAGTAAACAACAAGTTGGAACTTGGAATGCAATGTTCTAGCTGTTTAGATTTTCTGGCATTATGGAATTCTGAATTAACACTTTGGGATTGAGGATAATCAGGTTACGTAGTATATGTGATTCTATTCATTCTCTGTTGGCAAAACTGTAATGTAGTTGTTTGTGTTTTAGGTTCGGGTGAAGGATATTCATGATGATGGGCACAAATTTATGTTGTAGTCACTAGCCCCTTGGTTGATAATCCTTGAGAGGTTTTGCCTCTGGTATTAGGTTTGATGGGCTCAAGTTGCTTGAAAATTTGAAATTTAGAAGAAAAATGGGATTCGAGCAATTACGGGAATTACATAATCGAATCAGTGTTTTAGTTTACCTTGTCTATATGTCTGCTCTTCATCACCTTTGTTCCTTAATTGATGGTCTATTTCTCGTTCGTTTCTCTAGCTATTTTGTTCATGAGTTAGCTGTCTGTCTTGTCTCTATCAGTGAAAACTGCTCCAAGTTTTGCTGATGCTGCCATGGGAAGAATTGCACAGAGTACAAAGGTCCTGGCAGAAGGTGGCTATGAGAAGATTTTCCGACAAACCTTTGAGACAGTTCCTGAGGAGCAACTGCTAAATTCTTTTGCATGTTACTTGTCTACATCTGCTGGCCCAGTAATGGGAACTCTATATGTATCCACTGCCAAGCTCGCATACTGTAGTGACAATCCGCTTTCATATAAAAGCGGTGGCCAAACGCAATGGAGCTATTATAAGGTATTCTATTTATCTTGATTTCTCAGAAGCTTTGGTTGTTTCAAGACGCAGCTTTACCTCTTTCTCACTGAGATTCTGTGACTATTTGGCATGCACGATTTGATGTTCTGGTGGTTTAGTCGATTCTTTGAAGTTGACTCATTATGATCTGTTGGGATTAACTATCTAAACTTGCTCTGACTTGATCATGATTTGATATTCTGATCATGGCTTGATCTTTCTTGTGCGGACCAGATTTGCACTATAATTATTTTGCTTCCAATCAACTTACTCTGGCGCCTATTGGATACTAATATCGTCGTCTTAAACAGGTTGTCATTCCTTTGCACCAACTTAAAGCTGTTAATCCTTCAACTAGCATGGTGAATCCTGCAGAAAAGTACATCCAGGTAATATCGGTCGACAACCATGAGTTCTGGTTCATGGGCTTTTTAAACTACGAAGGTGCTGCCACATCTTTGCAAGATGCGTTGCAATCTGGTAACTTACAATCAGTGTGATACCTTATGCATTCTTGATGCAATCACAATATTTAGTTGTCACCCCTTCTTGCTTAGTTGGAATTTCCTGAGACTATGCAAGCACCACTTTCCTATATATTTCCCATTTTATATTGTTATAGGAACTAGTTGGGATTTTAGGGATTTTTTGCCATTTGATCATTTTATGAGAGAGAACAGCTAAGCGGCAACTCATTATATCCCAGTCTCCATGGTTGTAAGAGAAGATCTTTTATCCATTTTTTCCTTGAAAGTGTAGTTGTTACTCATAAAGTGTCATTGCAAAATGTGACGTGCGTAATTTTATTTCAAATGTTTTGTGTATGAAGCCGCAAAAACTTTAAACATAGAGCACGTCGATTGGACATAGGCAGGCCGATCGATCTCACCTCATTACCATTTCCATCTGAGTTCACGGACCTTAAGTTGTTGGTTCATCATCTGCTCCTTCATGTTTTTGCCTGTCCCATGAAACTTATTTTTCTTGCCTGAACCTGGGAATTTGTTCAAATTCTCGCGGTTTTTGATGTTTAGCTGTGTGGCCCTTGCCATGCTTGCTTCTTTCTTGGTCTCTTTGATCTCGATCTTGGTATGGCCTTCCATTTTTATGCTTATGTTAACCTCAGATAGTGTCTTGCCGTCTGGTCTGCCGCCGGAACCATCAGACGCCTCTCTTTCCCGCCGTTGCTGATACAGCCTGTGCAGCTTGACTGCAAGGTTGTAAATCCCGTCCTTTATCTCTTCTTCCAAATTCTTTTCTATTTCGGCTTCTAGCTCGTCCCGAATCTTCTGTTCTTGCTTGGACAATTTACCAATTACCCTCATCTCTTCCTGCAGTCAGTACATATAGGTCTGTGTGATTTCATTGTTATGACCAAATGTTTATAATGCATGGATGGTTACATATGTGTATGTGAGACTTACATGATCACATTTCTGGTCCATCCTCTTCAGGGAGTCATGCACCAAATCCCCTCTGGTCCCTGAGTTCTTGGTCTCTCAGACTACATTCTCGGGATTATTATGAATATAAACCACTTCGCATGCCATGATGGGTCCCTCTGTAGTATTATAGTTGGTGGTCCGAAGCTGACATGCCTCGGTTTAAAACATTCATAATGGTTTTGAAATGACCGTTAAGTATGTGGTTTTCAGTCTCTGCTTAGTTCGAATTTCAGGCGCCGAATGTCACTAGTCTTGCAAATTTTGATGGTAAGTTTCTTTGATCTGTTTGATTAAACGCGAATTGGTGCTTTACTTGTAAGGGACCATTTAGGGTGGAGTTGTTTTGGATTGCCCTTAAAGCGGGATCTATGCAGTCTGCCTGCAAATTCATCACGTGTGTGGTTGGACTGAGATGTTTACATGCTGTCCACCCTTACCTCTTTTTTAAGTTAAAAACTCTAGAACATCAATGGTTTTATCTCTAAGCTTAGACCTCATTGTGCTAAAAAAAATGGTTTTGATGATTCATACTAAAAGGAAATAGATGATGAAGTTAAATAAATGTGTTTTTTTTTTGCATATTTAATCAAAATTTCATAAGAAATATTCACTGAAAATAATAATTCCATAAAATATTCACTGATTCAATCAATCGAAGAATTTTAACCATAACACAACCGGTTCATAGTTTTGTCTGGTTTGGTATTCCGATACTTCGTCGTCCATGTGGGAAGGTCAATTTATCCAGCTTTCCGGGAAGCCATCGATCGTTTCGTACGGCCCAACAACCAAAAGTGGGGTTTTTTAACTTTTGGAAAAATCTTCCCTCCAAAACTCCCTGTAG